TACATCTTGGTGATATTTATTATAGAGACCAAAATAATTATTAAAGTTAGGAGTAAAAGAAGAGCTCACCTAATAACATTAGTCAGGGGCTGATTGAAGTTTCTCTTCTGCAGAACTATCTTCCCATCTCCTCACAGAATATAATAGTGCAAATGTGGATACATTGGTTGGTTTAGGGACATTTTTGTATATCACACAATTTTACATCAAGTCATTAATTACCTCAGTCTTCAACAAAAAAAAATTTGTTTTACCAGGAAGCATTTTTTTTTCAGAGATTCTTTATTGCTACACAATTCAGATAGAATATCCTTCATACTTGATGACTATTAAAGCAACCAAAGCTGTCCTGTTGTAGCTTGTGTAAATAAAACCAAGGTGAGTATACTAGGGCTATACAATTATTAGATATAATTATATTTTATAAAAGCAGAGCTACATGTAAAACAATACAATGACTGCTTTATTTACTAAAGAATTTGAAAAATAAATTACTGTGTTTTAAAAACAAATACAGAATGACCTGGGTTTTTTGGTACATAATCTATGACAGGTATTGTTAAAATCAACCCCTTCATTATATCAACTAGATCTACAATTACATCTAACATGAAAATTTTAAAATGTGTAAGTACATTGTAGCTAATATATATATATGTGTATATATATATATAATATAAAACATAATCTATCTATCTAGCTATATGATAAATTTTCTTTCACAAATGCTGTAAGAGAAAAGAGGGAGCTTTGGAAAAACTCGGTCCTTAATTTCAATAAAGAGAATTAAAAATTAAGTTTAAATTTGGTTTAAATTTGTGCATGTTGTTACATATCCAATTATATAATTTGTTTCTGAGACTTGAACACATGATCTTTCTTTCCCTGTCTCTCTTTCTGTCTCCCACTAATACATAAATGGAACGGAGATACGCCTTCATACAACATGTGTTAGTATATATAATCCCACACTGTGTGTGAGCATATATGTGTATATGCCTATATGCCTGGATGAAAGTGCAGTGAGGTTTTTAAATCCTTTTTCATCCTCTTGGAAATGTATAATGTTACACAGCATATAACCTTTTTGTGAACTTGAGCAGAGTACTCTAAGGGATATTTTGGCAACTGTAGAAGTGCTGATTAGGCTGTGCTATAAATTATCCAAGATGGGTATTTTTTTTTCCCCCCCAGAGGGAGTAATTACAGAGTAAAAATAATATGAAAGGCAAAAGGTCATTCACCATGTATTCCAAGATTCTAGGAATTATGGCCTTTGTTAATCTTATTTAGATAAAAGTGCATTTTTTTCCTAAATAGTAAACTGACTCCTATGCAACTGAGCCACATCATGGATAGAAATGGCAAAGCTTCAGGCTGCTAGTCAAAGATTTACATTTTGAATCATACCCTTTAAAGTTTCTCCCAAGTGTCTTTCAAGTTGGTAAAGAATGCCAATTCTGATAAATAACAGGTAAATGAAGGTTCAGATGTAATTATTATTATTCAAAAATGAAAATATCTAATTGTTTATGGATTGTTGGTTCTCAGCTTTCTTTTTTTTCTCAATTTCTTCATTCTCCGTATTTTGTAGTTCTATATTTTCTGTATTCTGAGGATGTTTTGTTTTGTTTTGTTTTTCTATTTCCATGAAAAACGTATATGGAATTTTGATTAGAATGGCATGGCACCGATCTGTAGATTGCTTTAGGTAATATGGACCCTTTAACAGTATTAAGTCTTCCAATGTTTAAACACAAGATGTCTTTCCATTTATTCATATCTCCTTTAATTTCTTTCATCAATGTTTTGTATTTTCTAGTACATAGTCATTTCACCTCATTGGTTAAATTTCTTTTTAAGTATGTTATTACTTTTAATGGTATTGCAAATTGGACTGTTTTCTGAATTTCCTTTTTGGATGGTTTGTTGTTAATATACAGAGACAGCTGATTTTTGTGTTTTGATTTTGTATCCTGCAACTTTACTGAATTTGCTCATTCTAATAGTAATGTGTGTATGTTGTGTGTGTGTGTGTGTGTGTGTGTGTGTGTGTGTTAGTCTTTGGGCTTTCTACCTATAAGATCTTGTCATCTGGTAACAGAAATATTACTTCTTCCTCTCTAATTGGATTCCTCTTATTTATTTTTTTTTTCTTTCTAACTTCTCTGGCTAAAACTTCTAGTACTGTGTTGGCTAGAAGCAGAAATATTCGGTATTCTTGCTTTTATCCAGATCTGAGAAGGAAGATTTTTAATTTTTCATCAATGAATATGATGTTAAGCTATGAACTTACTGTTATAGCCTTTATGATGTTGATGTACCGTTCTTCTATACATTTTTTTTAAATTTTGGTAAATATATATAAAAATATGTAAATATAAAAAATATATAAACTATATACTATATATATATACAATATATATTTTCTTAAAGAGCCTCATCATATTTATTCTCCTGGAATTTATAGCATTTTTTAGGTACTTGGCTATTTATTCAGGCCTTAGAAATTAAAAAGAAATACCCTAAACTTCTTTTGATTTATGAATAAATCTTATCTATCAGCTATTTTTGTTAGTCATTAGGAGACATTTTGAATACAGTTTACAGTTCACATATTCTCAATTATATGGAGAGTGTATAAGTGTTTAAATATTAATTTTAATATATTCTGATTTGTCTAATGGAGCATGGTGAATGTGGAAGAGTTACTATACTTGCAATTCCTAGAATGTATCAATAAGTATCAGCTCTTTCCCTGAACATGATTGTCTTCCAAGGAGATGCTTCCTCTTATATGATGTGATCTATATATTATCTAGGATATGATCTTTTATGACCAACTTAGACAGTTTTTTGTAACTGTCTTTGTAAAAACAACCTGCTTTGTAACACTACCATCGTAATAATTTTGTGACTTGCTTACTTATTTCTCTGAACTAAGACTTCGTTTGCTTGCAAGTGTATCACCTCAGTTTTAATTAGCTGAGGGTCCTTTGGAAGCCTTTAGAACTGTGGAAAGTTAAGCTGTAACTTAGAGACCTTACTCAGCAACCAGGATCTTGACATCCTAGCCTTTCTACCTCAGGGGCTGGAAAATAAGAGATACAGTCTAATTTATTTTTTCCTTTTTTTTTTTTTTAACAGAACAGTGTCCTATTTTATGCATAACTTCCTAGGAACATTATGATATTTACAAAGATCCTGAAAATCATGGCTTCTTTCTGTTACTGAATTTGTGCCCTGAGATTAGGTACTTTAACATGAATATTGGAAACATGACCTCATCAAAGTCCCTTCCAACATTTCATAGCTTTGCCAACAAAGAGAGATCAAAGTTCTTTCCTAGTTCCAGTACCAACATTTTGGGGAATGTACTCTCTTTGGATCATCGTGAATCAAGTGCCTACCCTTTCACAAATCAACTGAGAGCAGAAAGGTAGGGTCCTGTAAAATTGGGACCTTATGCTCTTCACAGGTTAATTAAATATATCAAGAGGTGTCAATTGACAAATCCTGATAAAAACACATGATTAAGGTTAAGGGATCATGTGTTTCACAGAAGAGGGCAGTCTACCCAGGAAATGTTAAGTTGGTGAGGATTGTTGAACTAAAAAAATGTCAGGTAGCATCTCACATGTTTATAGAGGAGAACTGGGAAAACTCTTTGTTGAATAATGAATAAACACAGATATATAAATCAATCCCTAGTATCCCCATGTAGCACTTTAAAACATACAATTGTATCTTTAGAAGTAAATGAGAGGACTCCACACATTTACCAGATATATTAACTTAAAAAAATATTATCATACCATAGCTAACAAAATATTGGGTTAGGGAAATTATTTTCATACAAGCTCTACATTCACCTATCTGTATAGCCTAATTATATCCATGTATGATGTTAAATCACCATTCTTTTAGTCTTGGTTGAAACTCTTACACAACTGCATTGTAATTCAAGGTTTCTGCTATTTACATTGATACTTAGATTTGCTAAAGCAAATAAGTTGTTTCAATAGATATATTTCTAATTTGTCAATAAAAAAGTTGGTAACGACATAACCATTTATGCTTCTTAATATCTAATTCATAAGTTTCTATAAGGAAAGTTCTATGAGCTCTCTCTGAAGAAATTTAGTATCAGGACAGCCTGAAAAATTTTAAATTGCTCAATGTAAACATTTAATATCAAAACATATTGAAAATATATTTTTGCATATCAGATCATGAGATTTACATAATCAATAGTGTTTTAATATATATAGGGTAAAAATTAATTCAATCACAAATACTATATCATCCTATGTAGTTATATTTTTTTCATTCTTTAACTTAGTCATTATTTCTATTAATTTTAATAATTTTGTTTTATTTAAGATTTTATTATAAAACCACTCCAAATTCTTTCCAGAAGCTGACCTAGAGTACATGGTAATTAAATACATAAATAAATTTACTATCTCTCTTTGTCATGGCTTATACATTTCACTAAATTAAGCTATTGATCAGAATAATAATCACATTTATAGGTATGCTATATTATTTTCTTTGTTTTTACTTTGAATTTCAGGTTCTGAATTTCAGGTTTTCAAACTCTTATATTTTAATTTCACATGCTGTGGAGAAATGCATTGGGGATTACACTAGAACTTGACTAATTTAGTATTTGCTCAACATAAGAATGCAAATTTGATCTCCCTTGTCTTTTGTTCTGTTGCCTAGGGATGTAGAGCTAATAAAATATTTTATATTAAGATATCTGCAAATTCTTCTTATTTAGGTTATTTTACATATATTTTAAAGTTTATGTAAATCTAGTATTCCATTACTACAGAATTTACTAATATTTAAAATCTGAAAGCATATCCATTTTATATATTACTTAATACGTTTGTTTGAATATGAGGTCTAACCATATTCATGTCTTTTTCTTGTCAAATATTTTTTGTGAACTGTATTACCATCAAGTGATTTGATTATGAAATATTTTTCAGAGCACTATCAGCTATATGTTCCTGAGTCAGCTCAAGTTGGTTCAGCTGTTGGGAAAATCAAAGCAAATGATGCAGACACTGGTTCAAATGCTGACATGACCTATTCTATCATTAACGGTGATGGTATTGGGATATTCTCCATCTCCACTGACAAAGAGACCAGAGAAGGGATCCTTTCTTTAAAGAAGGTAAAAAGAACATACTTTCTCTGATTTAGGTAATTCACCCATTTTTCCATGAATGATCCACATTGGTGTCAATTATCCATATTGTCAGGTCATTAAAAACGTTAAATATTTCCTCTTTAACATGTAATTACATTTTAATTATGACCGTGTCTGCCTCTTTGGAGCCACTCTTAGGAAAAAAAATATATATTTTTTAATAGTGGGAAGATCTATTTTGGAATATGCTGTGAATGTGTCTGCCATCTTGTTTTCAGATAACAGCTTTATCATGCTTGCCAGTTCTATTATTCTATGTTGTACTAATCCAAGTAACATTAAGAGACTTTTCTAACCAATGTAAAAATCTCTGTCATGTTAGCTAACACTCACTGGGAGAGGGTTTTGTTTGACAGTAATGGATTCATCAAGACAGATCTAGTAGAACCATTAACCTCCTCCTGACTCTTTTATTGCTAAGAATTTGTCAGTGGACTAAATCTATCTATCATCTTTTTGATTTTAGAGTACAATGTGTTTATGTCCTTGAAAAAGTGAAGTGGAACACAGAAAATTAGCAAAGAATTTAAATATAACTCCTAATGCAGTGTATCTTAAATATTGAATTATTTCAGCTTAGAAATCTAGAAACATTCATATCTCTGGGCTTTACCTTCATATATTTTTATTCAGAAACACTGAAGTGGAGCTGAGGAATTGGTCTTTTTAACAAATACTCTCAATGATTCTGCTGTAGAATTTTTTCAAAACACAGGCTGAGAAATTGTATCCTGATGTACTACCATAGACATTGAAGTGAATCCATCATCTACCTGTATCTATCTACCCATCCTTCTATCTACCTATTTATCTATCAACCTATCATTTAGCTATCTACATAATTTTTGTGTGTTTTGTATATATTTTTCTATTTGAACTGTATACAATTTTATTCTTCTAATGAATATCACTTATATTGATTAAAATTAAGGATTAATTTGTTTTCAGTTGCTACAAAAGGGACCTGCAAAGTAGATTTTAGAGTGATTAAATATAGAACAGTAGTCATCTCTAATCTATGTAAAATATTGATGTCTTCACTTGAAATACTTTATCATTGGGGTGCCTGGGTGGCTCAGTGGGTTAAGCCTCTGCCTTAGGCTCAAGTCATGATCTCAGGGTCCTGAGATAGAGCCCTGCATTGAGCTCTCTGCTCAACAGGGAGCCGGTTTCCCCCTCTCCCCCTGCCTGCCTCTCTGCCTACTTGTGATATCTCTCTGTCAAATAAATAAAATCTTTTAAAAAATACTTTATCATTTTAATCTTTCTTTCCTGAGATTGTAATAAGAAGTCCTGTAAAACAAATAAATGAGAGGGGCATCTGGGAGGCTCACTTAGTTAAGCATCTGACTTTGGCTCAGGTCATCTCAGGTTCCTGGGATTGAGCCCCACTTGGGCTCCCCGCTCAGTGGGGAGTCTTCTTGTCCCTATCCTTTTGCCTTGCCCCCTACTAATGCACTCTCTCTCTCTCCATCAAATAAATAAATACAATCTTAAAAAAAACTTTAAAAAACGAACAACCAAACAAGTGAGAATTTGATAAAATGAGGATTATAGTTGTAAATTGAGAGACTGAATGTGTGTTTCTACGCAGATGAGTAAAAGTCAATAGAGACAAGAAGCTGAGCATACTAACGAGAGGATAATTGATTTAAAAAGATGGACTGGGGTAAAGATGACCCTGTATAGAATCTTGATCACAGGTAGAAAGAAACAACCTATGATGATACGCCTCCTTTCTTGAGAAAATCCAACAGAAGTGAAAAGTAAATTGTTGCTGATAAGCTTGCAATGGTACAGCTGGTGTGCAGAAGGTGGGGGAGGGGAGCAGTTCTTGCCTATTGAGCACTATGGTCTTTGTAAAGTGGAAAGTTACAACATGTTTGCAAAAAGTGAGGGTGATGGATGGTTTAATTACATAAAGGATCTGAAATGCATCCCCATATATATCATGGAATTAAGAATAATGGGAATTTTACCACCCTACATGGTCTCAATTAATTTGACGGTGTTTGTGAAAAACAAAGGTAAAATGGTTTGTGTGCATATGCATGCACCTACATCTAATTAACATACAATAGTTATTTTCAAGATGAAATTTGTTTCAATTGTGTAAATGGTAGTGAGAATGTATTCAAAATAATCTCCACAATTAATGAGTTCAAATTTTCCTTCACTATTTTTCCATGAATTTTTAAAAATATTTTATTTATTTATTTGAGAGAGAGAGATTGAGATCACAAGTGGACAGAAAGTCAGGCAGAGAGAGAGGGGGAAGCAGGCTCCCTGCTGAGCAGAGAGCCCAATGCGAGGCTTGATTCCAGGGCCCTGAGATCATGACTTGAGCCGAAGGCAGAGGCTTAACCTACTGAGCCACCATTTTTTTAATGTAGTCTGCACTTCCAAGATACATTCATGCTTGTATTCATCTAATTTTCGAATCCTTTAGATTAAGATTATTAATCTGAGTTACTTTATTGCTATATATTGTATGCTGTAAATATTTGCAATTTGAGAAATAAACTATGTAATTTATTCAGGGGTACTCATTCAGGGGCGCCTGGGTGGCTCAGTCGATAAAACCTCTGCCTTTGGCTCAGGTCATGGTCCCAGGGTTCTGGGATCAAACCCTACCTCGGGCTCCCTGCTAAGTGGGGAGTCTGCTATTCCTCTGCCTCTGCCTTCTCCCCTCCCCAGCTCTTGCTTTCTCTCTTGCTCTCCCTCTCACTCTATCTCAAATAAGTAAAATCTTAAAAAAAATAATAATAATAAAATAAAATAAAATAAAACAAAATAAAATAAAAAAGATACTCATTCAGATGGCAGGAAATAGATCAAACTGTCCTTTAAAATCTGTCCCTTATTTAATCCTCTAAGGCAGCTCACCTTAGCCAGCAAGGCAGAACGGCTAATCTTCCCAAAGATCGAAATCAGCACTGCTTTCTAAATCTGCTTGCAGGAGCCTCTGCCCATTCCTGTCCATATCATTCCTTTATCAGAAAATTGCCAAGTTGAATTCACCGGTCCATGGTGTGGTAGGTTGTAAATACACTTTGATAACTTTCATTCATTGTTTAATGGAGCCTGACTGGGTTGGAAAGGGGAAAAGAAAAAGGCGAATGCAAGTTGATGCACTCTCCTCTGGCAGAAACCCTGTAGCTAGGGATACAGGCTTCTTAGCAGCCTCTCGCAGGCTCTCTTCCTGTGGACTCCATATCAGCTTGCACTCTTTATAGCGCTTGTTCCAATTTCTTTTTTTCTTTTTTCTTTTTTTTTTATTTATTTGACAGAGAGAGATAACAAGTAGACAGAGAGGCAGGCAGAGAGAGAGAGAGGGAAGCAGGCTCCCCGCTGAGCAGAGAGCCCGATGCGGGACTCGATCCCAGGACCCTGAGATCATGACCTGAGCCGAAGGCAGCGGCTTAACCCACTGAGCCACCCAGGCGCCCCATCCAATTTCTTTTTTAATTCAAGGATGGATCCAACCCTATTGACCCTCCTGACTTTCACCAAATACCATCTGTAATATCATTTTCTTTCTTCAGACATATTTAAATACGTAGACAGTGTCTATTATCTTAAGCGAACATATTTAAACTTGGTCTTCAAGTCAATGAAGAGTGGTGGAAAATATGATCTCTACTGTCAAAGGAAATACAAATTTTGGTCCTGCCATTGAAAGATCTGTGGCATAATTTCAGGTCTTTGAATCTGCTGTTTTCTTTCTTTTTTTTTTTTAAGGTTTTATTTATTTATTTGACAGGAAGAGGTCATAAATAGGCAGAGAGGCAGGCAGAGAGTGGGGGGGGGGAAGCAGGCTCCCTGCTGAGCAGAGAGCCTGGTGCGGGGCTCAATCCCAGGACCCTGGGATCATGACTGAGCTGAAAGCAGAGGTTTTAATCCACTGACCCACCCAGGCACCCCTGCTGTTTTCTTATTTAAGCACTTTAACAAGGTGATTACTAAAAACATGAATAAAATAAGGTGAAAGTTGTGATCTAAATTTTGTCTGCCAAAAAATTACAATAATACCTCAATTTCTACTTTTCTCCTTGTTTTCATTTTCTCTTCTATTTGCACCAAGTTTTAGTTACACTTTTCAGACCACTCCATGTAGTTATTATTGTGTCCTTTATTTAATGTTATCCAATTCCCTATAAGAATGCAAAAAAAGTACTCTGTGTATATTATATCGTATATGCATGTTGTCACTCATGTTTTTGGTAATCTACTTCTCTTTCCTTCTTCTCTAAAAGATTTTTTTTCAAAGTTAAAGTTTAATATTGTCTTTATAGTTCAATATTTGCTGGTATATATCAGTCACAGATATCTCTCTCTGGATTATCTTTTCTATTTTACATATCAGTGTAGGCATTTCACTAACTTCTCGCTATGGAAAATGTAACAATTCTAGATCCCTCTTAACTCTGCTAAATCTCATAAAGTAGGAAGACCTTATTCTAATTAATTCACTGTGAATGCACTGATAATTACCATGGATGTATATCTACATATGCTATAAGTGCATGTCTGCAACCAATGCTTGTAAAATATTTTGCAACTGAAAACTTTGTATTTTTTAAGCTTCATACTATTCAGTGTGTAATAAGATTGCTATCATTTTATTTTACAAATGATTTGAAATAGATCATAGATAAACATAAAAGGTTACAGTATTTTTGTAAAGTTTAAGTTAATGCTAAGGGGAAAAAATATGAAATATGTTCAATTATAACCATACTAGATCTTTTCCAAATAACCACATTTTTGGTTGTTTAGTGGATACTGTTTATTGAATTTTTATTTAGTATACCTTTGCATTGGCTGATAAAATAAGAATCAGATTATTCTGGCCTTTGGATTGTAAAGTTTTGGGGCTCTGAGTCACAAAGTGCAATGAATAAGACATCCCAATCTATTACAAATCCCCACAAAGACAAACATGAACACACTTTATTTTAAGA